AAGGAGTGGGTTTCTCAAAAACCAAGTAGATACATTGCTTTACAAAAAGGAGAAAGTTTCACAATGATCTACAAACAGCTGCTCATGTGGTGTTTTCTGACAAAGACGCTGAAAACACCACTATAGAATTTTTTTTTGATGATGAGGACAATTTACTGTGTATATTTCTTCTGATACGTGTTGTTGCGTTCTGCGTGTCGCACCCACACGGAGCCTCCCAGCAAATATATCCACAGGAAGATTTGACTTTTTCAGAATGTAGCAGACACATTCCCAACAACCAGTAAGAAACACAATTTACTGTGTATATTTCTTCTGATACGCATTGTTGCGTTCTGCGTGTCGCACCCACACGGAGCCCCCCCAGCAAATATATCCACAGGAAGATTTGACCTTTTCAGAATGTAGCAGACGTAAAAAAGTCAAGCGAAGTGCCTGGCCGCTACAACAGACGCCAGTGCTTCGTCTCTGGGTGTTAGGAACATTTTAAAAACACACCACTATAGAATTTTTCTTCGATAATGAAGACAATTTACTGTGTTGTTTTCTTCTGATACGTGTTGTTGCGTTCTGCGTGTCGCACCCACACGGAGCCACTCAGCAAATATATCCACAGGAAAATTTGACTTTTAGAGAACGATCCAGACACTTTTTATTTCTAACTGTATGGTATGTCCGATGAGCAAAGACCAACAACAATGCTGCAGACACATTTCCAACCACCACACACCAGACAGACACACAATTTACTGTGTTGTTTTCTTTGGAAGCGTGTTGTGGTGTTCTGTGTGTTACACCCATATGGAGAGACTCAGCAAATATCCACAGGAAGATTGGATTTTTTCAGAATGTAGCCGACACATTCCCAACAACCAATCAGAAACACAATTTACTGTGTATATTTCTTCTGATACGTGTAGTTGCGTTCTGCGTGTCGCACCCACACGGAGCCTCCCAGCAAATATATCCACAGGAAGATTTGACTTTTTCAGAAAGCGGTAGATGTAAAAAAGTCAAGCGAAGTGCCTGGCCGCTACAACAGACGCCAGTGCTTCGTCTCTGGGTGTTATTTTATTTTATTTTTTATAGTAGAGGGTTTTACGGCGCTCGCAACTGCAGAAGGTCATATGAGCGCCAACCTCTCTGGGTGTTAGGAACATTTGAAAACCAAGTAGGCCCTACATGTAGATAACATGCTGTATAATTCTAATCAAAGGAGTGGGTTTCTCAAACACCAAGTAGATACATTGCTTTACAAAAAGGAGAAAGTTTCACAATGATCTACAAACAGCTGCTCATGTGGTGTTTTCCGACAAAGACGCTGAAAAAACACCACTATAGAATTTTTTTTTGATGATGAAGACAATTTACTGTGTATATTTCTTCTGATATGTGTTGTTGCGTTCTGCGTGTCGCACCCACACGGAGCCCCCCAGCAAATATATCCACAGGAAGATTTGACTTTTTCAGAATGTAGCAGACGTAAAAAAGTCAAGCGCGCCTGGCCGCTACAACAGACGCCAGTGCTTCGTCTTTGGGTGTTATTTTTTTTTTATAGTAGAGGGTTTTATGGCGCTCGCAACTGCATAAGGTCATATGAGTGCCAACCTCTCTGGGTGTTAGGAACATTTGAAAACCAAGTAGGCCCTACATGTAGATAACATGCTGTATAATTCTAATCAAAGGAGTGGGTTTCTCAAAAACCAAGTAGATACATTGCTTTACAAAAAGGAGAAAGTTTCACAATGATCTACAAACAGCTGCTCATGTGGTGTTTTCCGACAAAGACGCTGAAAAAACACCACTATAGAATTTTTTTTTGATGATGAAGACAATTTACTGTGTATATTTCTTCTGATACGTGTTGTTGCGTTCTGCGTGTCGCACCCACACGGAGCCACTCAGCAAATATATCCATAGGAAGATGTGACTTTTTGAGAACGATCCAGACTTTTTTTTCCTAACTGTATGGTATCTCCGATGAGCAAAGACCAACAACAATGCTGCAGACACATTTCCAACCACCACACACCAGACAGACACACAATTTACTGTGTTGTTTTCTTCTGATACGTGTTGTTGCGTTCTGCGTGTCGCATCCACACGGAGCCTCCCAGCAAATATATCCACAGGAAGATTTGACTTTTTGAGAACGTTCCAGACACATTTATTATAACTGTATGTCCAATCAGTTGAGACCAACAACAATGCTGCAGGAATATTTCATTTCCAATCATCACACACCAGTCAGAAACACAATTTAAAGCCTACATTTCTTTTTATGCATGCTGATCCCCGCGATCAGAGAGTGACGTGCAGAGATACATCACCTCACTCACAAGCCAACATTCACTTCCAAACACACTGGGAGG